CCAGCACTCATCACTATGGGTTAGCGCGTGTACATTGTGCGACTGACTCATTGTTAAAACACTTCCCTACCAATACGGTGCAGCTATACTGTACGTGGTACTGGTAGAGCGTTCAAAATTCGGGCATCTAGATTCTAAAGCCATTCTAAAACTACGTTCGAAGAGGGAGGGTATTTGGGATCAATTCAACTAAAACCTCCAACGATACGACACACTTCCCCCAACAACTCAAGGTACAACAAACCACCCCAAACACCATGTAATGCCACCAAAGGACTCAAAACACAAAACCTCTCCAAAGACGTCAAAAATCCTCGATAGAGCCGCTGAGATAGAAATACAACTGGAGGTACAAAAATGAGGTTGCTGTAATTTGTTTAGGTTGGTACCAACTAGGGGAATCAGCTCATTTGGCTTTATGTATGTACACCTACAATCCCAGAGTTAAAATGTACTATGAAAAATGTGCTTTATCCCCTAGTACAAAAGACGGCCGTCTCGAAATTTTCATTCAGTGCCCCTGTTGTATCTCTAGCTCAGTGATAGAATAGAGCCCTAACAATTCCAAAGACAAAGACCACAAACTCCTCCAGAGCTCTAAACGCCTCTGATCACACAAACTACGCACTGACACCAAAGACCACCAAAGTCGCAGCGCCTCCAGTTTTCAACGAGAGGTGAACGCACTTTATCATCACCTCAATCACTGTATCACCGGAAGCAGGTTGTGCAACGTGACAGAAGTGCAACAATACTGGCAACTTCCGGTGGTGAGTCAACGTCATTTGTAAAAAAAACTTTTCGCAATCTTATGGTTTGAATCCTGGAATAGTTGGCAACCAAACGAGGTGTTTTTAAATAGGCCATAATAACATTAACATTTTAATGACAGTTAACATTCTTCACCTCATTCTTAAACAAAATAGGAGTTCTCCCAATGATAGGGAACTATGTCCATTACCTATACGACCGATCACTTAAACAAGGAGCATATCACAGACACAGCACTCGCACAAAAACAGACGGCCAAAGAAAGTTAAGAAAGCACGTGTAAAATCCCGCGCCTATTTTCTAAGCGGAGGATTTCACTGGGAGGGTTCGTTGGATTTATGGCGGTGACATTGAGAGTGAAATTAGAAAACAACCTTATGTAAATGAGGGACAAAGGTAAATTTGGTGAGGAATGCGTGTAAGGCCCGAGGGCGAGGGAAAGTGGTGTGCGTGAGTGTGAGGTGGCAATCCTGCTCGTAAAATCAGCTGGAAAGTGACATTATGCTAAACACCTTCAGCCGATCAGCTGATCTAGAATTATGCTTTGGGTCTGTGTACATTCCAATAATGGAATATCTAGCTCTATCCACAGTCAAAAATAACTGAAAAGTGTCTTATTTTGGCATTGGGAATGCAAATATCAAAGTTTCCTCTCCTCTAGAAATATTATTTTTTATCTTATGTAACATATCAGGTCAAGGAACCCTGGCTTCAACACATAAAAAAACGTTCGATTTTGAAAATAACAAAATTCCTATTCATAATTAATGTCACACGCACACCCTACAAACTTAAATTGCTTCAGAGTTAAGTGGAAGTATCCTCTCCTCTTTTATAGTTCTTAAAAAAAATTATTAATTTTGGGGAACCTTAAAAGAGTTAGCTAAGTTCTGTCAAATGTCAGATTGTTTAAACCCTTGTTTTCTCTCATCTAAATTAGGCTACTGTGATGTAATGACAATTAATTGAGATTAGTAAAAGACTTTAAGTGAGCACTATATTGACATAATTAAACAGTATTTAGTATGCAACCTAGAGATCTGAGTGCCTAATTACTTCAACTTACTTTCCTAAGTACAATTGGAGGGAAACAACTTTTTGGGTAATCTTTCCCTAACCGGCTCTAAATTAGTTATTGGTAATTTTCAAGTGCCTTTATGTTCTTTCCTCCAATTTATACCCAATTGTACAACAATTAAATCTATCTTAATGGCTTATTACATAAATACCCCCGCCACAGCAAACCTGCAGACTAAGCGAATTTCCATATATCTGATTGGATTTACACTAAAATGTCTACTTAAAAATTTAACATTTATTTCCTATTTAAATAGAATTATTTTAACAGGTACTTAGGTTTGCTGCATCAGGGAGGGTAAAACTTTTTTTGTAGGCTAAAATGTTAATAGTTAGTAAGAAATAAAAACATTTTCCAAATTTGATCAAAATATGTTCATAAACAAGCAAACTACAACAGTTTACTCATTCTCCATAAGAATAACATGGGAATTTAAAATTTATATTTTTTTGGAATTTTCTCCGTAACCATTAGGCGCATAGTAACACTTCAATATACTAAATTATTTGTTTTTTTAAGCTCTACAAAATGGTTTGAAAAGATTTTGCAAAATTTTATTTTTTTTGGGTCAAAAATGGGAAAAACCTATTTTTACCCCATAAAACCCCCCGTAAACCCCCGTTCCCATAGTCCGATCATGCTGGTTCGCGAACTCGTTCGAGTTTATCCTGCCTTACACCTTCAAACCAAATTTTATCAAAATCGGACAAAAATTACTCAAGTTATCGTGCGGATGGACACATATATATATATATATATATCTATATATAGATATATAAAAATTTAAACGAATGGTGTTTTTGGCCTCTGGGGACATCAAAATGAAAAAGTAAATCGGTCCCGGGCCTAGGTCTTACCATGAGACCTACGGTAATAGCTACTTCCCTATAGGGAAATTCGCTAAAAAATAATAGAGATTGATTCAAATTTGTTTTCAAAAAATATTTAATTGCTGGGTGAGATTGTGTTTTAGGTATGAATTGAACAGAACAAAACCAAAATTCTCTACTCAGTTAGCCACCAAGGCAAGCACTCAAACATTTGGAAGGGTTTATAGTATGGCTTCTACACTACAGTACTTCCTTCTCCCTCAGTACAATAACTCAAACAAAGTCAATTACTGCATGGTGTCAATTATTACAAACACAACAGCTACCAAAGCTACCTAGGCCAAGAGAAAGTATTTCTTAAGAGTCATGCTTATTTATTACCAATTGATGTGGCAGATGCAACTGGACAAATTTGGCCCATTGAGTGAAGGGACAAGTGAAGTATGGAAATGCCTTTGGGATTTGTTACTGACTAAGACCAGCTGTTTTACTAAGCTAGGACCATAATGGGTGGAGTTTCAAACCATCAAAAAGGCTGCTGATAATTCTCATCATCAAACTTTCAAGGGAAGCATGTTCATGATGTAAGATTAAGAATGAACTTGTTTTGGTATGAAAAGAATGTAGCTACGTACTATTCTGAACTATAAAATAGATAGCGCACTGAGAAATTTTTTAAAAAGTTAGAAGACCCACGCCGTCTTTCTGACTTTTGCATAGAGGCACAGCTTAGGATTATTGTGAGCCGAGTATAGGCTAACAGAGTGATGGGAGTAACACCTTGACGATCAAAATTGAAGAGCCTAGGCCTAATTATTATTAATTTCAGCTGGGTCCAGATTTAAACCATTAAAAGCTACAGACTTTCCTCTAGATTGGACCAGCAACATTTGATTAGTAAAGTAACCACTGAATCAAGTCTTGATTGTAAGATAAACTTATTTATAGCTGAGTGTAAGTTATATAGTGCTCGCCTTTAAAACAAATGTTGCCGGTTCGATCCTGAGAAAAGTTAAAGGCTTTTAGGTTGTTTGAATCGACCTGGCTAGATGTTTAATGCATATTTGCCGGCAGATTTTGTACAGTCCTACTTTAAATTCATTGTTTTAATCCAATAACTTTATCTATATTATTAATACGCTACATGAAAATTTGTGAACAACAGGCTTCTCCGTTTTAAGATTTTTAACTTTACTTATTATAGCCTATACCAAAATGTTTGTTTAAGTGTGTAGATTTGCAAACTGACCTTACATTTTTGATAAAGTCCCTTGGGCTCTGCCCCAGCGGCTTTTAAAGTTCCCATGTTACCCTTTTGAAGAACATATTTGTTTACATTATGATCAGCTGGATAATTTAATTGCTGTTAATATCTTAGCTGCAATTTAAGGAAAAGTGTGCTAAAAACTGACTTGGTTGAAATGAAATATTTAAGATATTTACATGAAATGTTGATTATATCGAGCTTTTTTGTAAATTGTGAGTATTTCCATAATCTTTGGGTCGACTCTTTTAAAGTCATCGGAAATTATGACTGTATTCGTTTTAAAATAACGCCTTTAGCTGTACACTAGTAATATTTAATCAAGCTAATGATGTAGATGCTGTACTATTGTAATTGTTATTATGTAAGGATTGACTGTTATTAAATTTACAACTTGCTAAGTACAGTATTAGTATATCTCTAATCTTTGTGTTGATTTTTTAAAATTTCCTCCTTAACGTATGTTTGTTTACTGATGTCTTGTATCATACTATGCTGTTCATATTGGAAACTCCAACTAGGTAACTTAAAATACTTAGGTTATCCCATTGAAATAAAGAAATAAATTCCGCTTTACAAGATTGAAACCTTAATTGGATAGCCTACTGATAAAAATGTTGTTGTTTACCAATCACGGGGACTATAAGTTTCCCTCGAAAAAGAAGTTATAACTATTTAAAACTGTAGGCTTAGGCCTATTTTTCAATCACAATCATTATTTCAATAGGGCAGGGTGGGTAGTAGTAGGTTATTATTCTAAAGTTCTCCAACTCAAGAAGTGTTTCGCGCTTTACAATGTTACAATGTCATTTAAAGCATCTATAAAGTGGCAACTAGTTACGTTCCAACATTAATTGAGAATTAAACTAATAACTTAGAACTGCAAGGAAAATCTGAGACATGCGATAATTAACGGGGCAGCGAAGAAGCGAGAAGCGACTGGCGTGCAATATAACGGGCCAACGTAGCCTGCTGTCGGCTGTTTTGGTTTTGCAAACGCAAGTTTGCTCGCTGAATTAACAGAAAACTATTCTATAAAGAAACTTGAAGGACTTACCGTAATTAATAGACGAAATAGAGAATCCAACAAACACTTCACCTAACACAATACGCGATCTGTCAAAATAAAATTCACAACACCCGACAGACGACAGACTTAGTAACTCGAACTTTGCGAACTGTGATTTGATTGGAAGACAACATCAACAGGTGGACGAGTCCACTCGCAGATGGAGGGGGGAGTTGCGCGCGCAGCTCTGGCAGGCTTGCCACTTTCTAACCTTAACCTGTTCGAAAGTACGGGACATTTTGTTAATTCCTTATTACTTTCAAAATATTGACAGCCGCTCCCCACTTAATTAAAGCGCTTTCGGTTTTTACCTTTTTCGACCTTGTTAGTGACCATGCCTCAAGCTGGTTTAAGTTTGGCGCTGCGCTCTTACTTTCTTTGAGTTTGGCCGCGAATTTCTTCTAACTAAACTAACACAGTAACTTAGCTCTATACTATAGTAAATAATATTAATTTAATTGAAATATTTTGTATGGAAGGATTACTTCTGTTAGGTTTGTGTAAGAGAATCTGATGCACCCCTTATGTTTATCTTTGTGGTGCTGGACACTCATTAAAAATTAATTATTTTACTCCTCCCTTGGATAAAACTGGTTTAAACAACCCACTCCTCATATACACCTACTAATAAATAAATAAAGGGATCTAAAAATTGTCAGTATTTTATCGTTATGTACACCGATTACGTATCAATCTAAAACAATCAATATAATTCTGCACTTCATTAAACTGTACCCAGGTCTATATTTAATTCTTTTTTTTGTCTATGCCTGTACTCTGTACCCTGTACCGATAATAATTTATGTTTATTGAAACTGTGACGTTGCTTGGATGACCTTCCTTACCTCTCTAACTATTCTGTTGCATAACGTGCGACGTAAGACAGTACCACCATCACGAAATATCATATGACGGACATCAATAAGTCTAACGTCTTGTTTACAAACATCTGATAAATACGTTCTAATCGCGTTTTTAAAATTAACGTTTGTGTTTGCAATGTCTGCCAGATCTTCCAAAAAGGCTTCGAGGGAGAAGGCTAAGCAGGCCGTCCTCGAGGAATCCCCCAAATACACATACACGGACATGCTGATGTTGAGGGCTCCGCCCCCCTCGGTGCCCCGACCCAGGGGGGCCCGCGTACCCGGGGGGTTACCACTGTGGGAGACAGCTCCCCTCAATGCCAAGCTACCCTTGATGTCTGGTCCTGACGGTCCTTTGGTCTTCACCAGAGGAAAGCTGGGAGTAAAGGTAACTCAGTTCAAGTTCAACTGTAGAATTGTATAGGTTATGTTAACTGAAAGTTTAGGTCAAGGCCCCTACTTATAGCCTGTATGAAGGAATCTTTCTATTGGTTTTTCGTCTAACCATAGATAAAAGGAGTATAGACACTCCTTTTATCTATGGTCAAACTTACCATCAGAGACTGTTCCAGGCCTTAAACTAATGGCAGAGGGTCAGGATACAGGTTGGGCAGGTTCCACATACCAATTAAGTATTTAGAAGGCGTTACAAACTGTAAACGGTAGCAGTTATTTTCATTTTGATCAGGTTTCAATGAGCACACTATACTTACCGGTAGACGACGAAATAACTTATATAACATATTTACTATATTGATAGAACATTTGCGTTTGCAAAGTAGGACAAAATCACTGTTTTCGAGTTTGGCAATAGCACAGTTTTTATTTATTTGGCTGTATTAATCACCATTGGAATTGATTCGTCTACGTTTTTAATGTGAGGGGACGGTCCAAAACGGGGCCAACGTAAATTCAAACGTCACCATCTATAACATACGTTGAAATGTATAATATCGAAATTTTGTTGGATTGCCGTAATTAATTCAGCCCAATGACAAATTTGCATATAGAATCTAACCCGCTTGGAATCAACTGAAAACCCTTCAGAGCTTATAAAGAAGTACTACTGTATATAGGTTTATTTATAGAAATTATACTTAATTTTTTTGTGGTTCAAAAACGCCCAACGCCAGATATAGGGTCAAGTTGGAGGTTCCTTCAAGAACATACGGCTTTGAACAATTGAAAACAAAAATTAATTAACAAGAACACTGAAGAATACTTTGAATTTGAAAACTAAATGCTTTAAAACTTGAATAGAAAAGTACGCCTATGTTGACATGATAATTTGCATGATTTTATAGCCTTTATCATCAACATCGCAATGTTCTCACAGGCCGATATATGGATAAGTAGTAGGCCTACACGCTCTCGTTTTCTATTACGTAAGATTTAGATTAACAATCTAGACTAGTTAGCAACAGATCTCAATTATTGGAAGCCTAGTTTCCTTCATATTAGATTGCTATACCACTTTCTATCGTGCCTGCAGCTACAGCAAAGCTGTGAATAACATCATTAACGTGTAGGTACTCATAGATTAGTGTTATAACTTATATTTCCTAGTTTGTAAAACTATTATTAACGTGATTCACGATTTAACAAATTGTCTCCTTAAAAATGTCAAAGATAAATTGCAAAATTCTAGGGGTAGTTTTAGGGGTAAAAAAAATGTTTACTCCATGAAACCCGTTCCCATAGCTCGGTTCAGTAGCTTTTGTTCAAATCAACGTATTTTTACACCCCAATTTTCAATCAAAATTAGATAATTTTTACTCGGGTTATGGTGTTGACACAGATATAATGTATATAAAAATAACTGTATATGAATTTGAACGGATGGGGTTTTTGGTCTCTGAAGACATAAAAATTAAAAAGTAAATCGATCACTGGTATCTCCGTGCCAACTACGGAAATAGCTTCTTCCTACAGGTAAATTAGCTAAAATGATTGAATAAAAAATATCTCTCAATACGACATTAACTGCTATGTGTGCGCCGTACTAACTTATACCGCAATTTAGGTACAGGTGTGTGCTGCTGGTTGCGTCTTAGCTCCTGCAACCGTTCTCTATAATTATAGTAGCATAGATTAAAAGTAGACATATATGTCTATACTCCTTTTATCTATGCTAGTAGTCCTTTTGATGCATTTATAAGACGTAAGACATGTTTATTTCCAGTAGACATATTACAAATGTATTGGAAGAGTCAAACATTTTTCATGCAGAGCAGTTGTCAAATTGAGAATTAAGTTACAAAGATCCTACTTAAGTAACCGTAATCGTAAGTAATCGTACTTAAGTTAGCCTACTTTAAAGTCTACGAAAAAAATTAATTATATTTTCAGTGGTTTCTTACCTTAAAAATATTGGGGATTAACTGAATCTATATTTATAAAAGAGGAAGTTTGTATATATATATATATATATATATATATATATTTGAACGTTATGGACTCCGAAACCGCTTGACAGATTGTAATGAAACCTTCAGGCATTATTAAGCATTATTCAAGGATGGTTTATGTGAAGTTTGGTGCAGATCCGTCAAAAGGGCTCCGCCCCAGTGGCTCTGGATTTTCCCATGTTAACCTTATGAGTACTTATAATTAAATGGAATTAAAGAATCTTAACAGCTGGTTCAACTAAACAATTTGATTCTGTGGTCTTCAATAGCATTAAAAAGTTAAAAGGTTTACCAACAGGGTGCAGCACTATTATATATTTTTAATTTATGACAACAGCTAATTTGCAACCAAAAGGTGAGTGAACGTAGCGAACGAACTTCAACCTGGTGGCGAGTTAGCGTAGCGAACGAGCTAAACTGAAGGCAAGTGAGCGTAGCGAACGAGCTCCAACCTACAGGGGAGTAAGCGTAGCAAACAAACTATTGAGCAATGTGAACGTGCTCATCTTGAAAATGAACGAGCATTTGTCATAAAACCACATTAGGACAGTACGACGTCTGTCGGGCCAGCTAGTACAATATGAAACAAATAAAACAGTTTTTGTTAAAAAAAGTTAGTTTGTTGATATTATTTTTTTGCAACGAAATAAACTATAAAACTATAGCTTTACTATAAATAACTTTCCCCATTGATACTTTTATACCACCATGGTAAATTTTTGAACATCTGAATATGGTAATAGTGTTAACTCTAAACTATGTAATTAAAAACTATAAAGTAAATGTATATACGGTAGGCCTATGTTGTTCTAAAAAATGTGTATATGTATCTGTATAGTAATCCCTCATCAGAGTGCTAAGTCCAAGCCATGCCATGCCCCCCATTATAGACAATATTTTCCTCTCTAGGAGAGACGGTACTCATTTACTATGCATTCTAAATGTTGAGACTCTTCTCCATTCTACATCACTGTAAATACTATTTACCGATATTAACCCTTCCCTAACAGCCTTTGATTTGTATACAGGCAGCAAAATCATTTGATTAGGTCTGAAACTAAAAACATATATTTTTAATATCTATATGGGAATTCAATTTGTTAATTTTCTCAACAGTTATGGAAGAGCTCTCCAGGAGTCACGTTTGAACTCTCCGATCCTTACAACAATGAGGTCAAGTTTGACTATGAGTCAGTTCACGACCACCACCTTCGAGCTTGGTTGCGGAACCCGAAGAATCTTCAGGTATTGTCCAACTCTTTTGACTTAGTGTCCATTTATAGATCGTTAGACTAGACTATTACTCACATAGTTTAAATAGTTCTAGCTTAGAACTTTGAAGCTCCACTACGTCATAGAGACAAAGTAACGTACGGAGGAAACACGCTTAAGGGACGACTGTGCGCTTACAGCTCTAGTATTGTGTGAGAAATAGACTTGTGACGAGCAAGGAAGAGCCTGAGCGGTGAGCACTGTGCAGAAGTTCCTACTCCACAGGGCACTGGTTCTTCCTCCACCGTGAGCGGTGTAGTACTCAATGGCGTGGGGGCATTGTTGGACCCTAGACACCATTGACTAGTGCTAGGCACCATTGAATGTTTCCTCTGTACCTTACTTCTTTATGATAGTTATGTAATTGATGTAGTCCGAAGGTACATAGCATACACCACTTTTCCAATCAGAATTAATAATTACATGAACACTATAACAATTAAGGTAAAACTTTTCAGGGATATTTACATGGGAGGATTAAACTATTCACTTTGCTCACTTTTGAGACTTTGGGTGCAATCATAAACTCACGCGAATAATGATTATTGATGGATTGAT